TAGGAATATGTTGCAGGATACTTGATCCAGTGTGAACCCTGGTCTGTGTACTGGAGAAACCTGTTTCTAGTTGTGGTGTGGCTCAGCCCTAGCACACACCTTTAATCCAAGAGATTTTTTTTTTTTGTAAACAGGATTAAGTAAAGTTAACCCTAGGTCACAAGGTGGAGCAAGCAGCCCGTTGTCAGGAAGTGAACATAGGAAAACCACAGAGAGCGAGAGGATGTCTAGAAGACAGATACAGAGACACACAGGAAGCAGAGAGGAGGGACATACAGTTTGAAGGGCTTTTAAGACTGTGCAGAAAATTTGAACACAGGGGTCTTCCCAGAGACTCATACTCCAACCAAGGACCATGCATGGAGATAGCCTAGAACCCCTGCACAGATGTAGCCCATGGCAGTTCAGTGTCCAAGTGGGTTCCATAGTAATGGGAAGAGGGACTGCCTCTGACGTAATCTGATTGGCCTGCTCTTTGATCACCTCCTCCTGAGGGGGCAGCAGCCTTACCAGGCCACAGCAGATGACAATGCAGCCATTCCTGATGAGATCTGATAGACTAAAATCAGAAAGGAGAGGAGGACCTCCCCTATCAGTGGACTTGGGGAGGGGCATGCATGAAGAAGGGGGAGGGAGGATGGGACCGGGAGGGGAGGAGGGAGGGCCTTATGGGGGAGATACAAAGTGAATAAAGTGTAGTTAATAAAAATAAATAAATTTAAAAAAATCCCAGAAAAAAAAAAAGACTGTGCAGAAGGAGAAGGGACTTTTCCCTTCTGGGACACTGGCTGAGGAGGAAGGTCAGCTGGGTGCTTTCTCTGCCTCTCTGAGGTAGTGAGTTTTCACCCTAGCATCTGGCTCCTGAGTCTTCATTAATAAAATCAAACATTTGGGATTTAGTTTATACACACACACATGCAATAGCAATTAGTGAAAAAAGGCGATGAATTTGAAGGAGAGAGGGAAGGGGTTCATTGTTGTAGGAGAAGGAGAAAAAGGAAGAGAGAAAAGTTGTGATTAAATTATAATCTCAAAAAAAATTAATATTGGCCATGCCCTTTAACCCATTTTAAAATGTATCTTTGTGAATTTTTGTCTTATGGTTAGAGATTTGGGGACTCCTTTTTTTGATTGAAGATGTGACCCAGAGCAATAAATACTATGTATTTCAGTTTGTTAGCTTCAGTCTAGTCAGTGCTGTGTCTCAAGATTAAACAATGTTTTTATTAAAAAATTCTCCTTTTAGATGATAAATTGCATGAGTTCCTGACCTTTGTGCCTCAGATCCTTCCTAGCTGCCTCACTGTTGTTCTCATTTATTCGAGAGCGAGCAGGATTGAGGAGCATAGTTTATTGATGCTTGTCTTACTCTGAATTTTATTATGTGTGACTTTGTTGCTCAGTTTCCTTTTCTATAAAATGATGCTCAAAGTGTCCATAAGTATCTTCAAGGAAAAAAAACGGTTGACAGTTTATTACACTTCCTGCGACACAGGACAGCTGTCTGTGGTGAGCCTTAGGAGCCAGTAGGAAAAGGAGGGAATGGGCTACGCCTTCAGAGTGTTAGGGCTGAGCATGCGTGATAGTAAAGGTGAGGACTTGCACGGTAGAGAGTTGGGTAGAACAAGGTCAAGAATAAGAATAACCCGTCAACCCCTTGCTCAACTAGCTGATGGGTGGACCAGAGCATATGCTAATTAGCGGGATGCTCAGGCCCCCATGGACTAGTTGTCAGTCTTGGTAAGCAAACTGCTTTAGATTCGATGTGTATTTCGCTGAAGGTTATTTTTGGAGTCGGTTACTAAGCTATTTTTGCTTCTTTTGTTCAGATCAGGAAATTGCTTTCATCTATGGTAACTCAGCTTTAGAATACCATTTGTCTGTTAAACTGAAAGAGAATTTGTTGTTTTCAGCTCAGTAATATTTTTTTTTCATGGTGAGTTTATCCTTTGGTCTACTAGCACACACTGAAGCGGAAAGATTAATAGTTCTTGCCGCCTATGATTACTCTGAGGGCTTTTCCCAGTGACTATGCGTCTCTCGGCAGACTGAAATCATTTATGATAATGAGAGCCTTTGATGGGTCTGGATGCTGTTAGCTGGATCACACCCATGCATTCTGCTATGCATTTTACTGCCTGGCTTGTATTTCTATCTAAAATTTCTTGTACCAAATGATGTATAAAACCATTTGACTTTCTGAGTGATTTTTGAAAAACTGCCTCTTTTGAAGGTGGTGTGTCCTAGTGCCAAACTGTCCAACGCTATCCCACTTCTGTACTTGTGTTCAGGCTGAGTTCCAACAGGGGATTTTTAGAAAAACACCGCATTCTGTGCCAAGAGCTGCTCAGGTGCCCCACAGGCTTCTCTGAGATGGAGGGGAATGGAACCCGGGTCCCACACCTAGCTCAGCTCAGCTGTGCTCACTGGCTGTGCTGTGCTGCCTGATTCTAACTTCAGTGAGCCAGGCAGCTGGCGAGCAAGCAGAATGGAGCCTCCCCCACAGTACCAGAGGGCATCCCCTCCAGAGGATGGTGAGGGTGACTTCCACTAGCCACTGCAACCAGGAAGGTGTCCACAGGATGTTGATTGTTGTCTCCGGGGTTTGGAACCAGGATACAGCTATACCACTCCTAAGCATATATCTGAAAGATGCCAAACCATGCAACAAGGACATTTGCTCAACTATGTTCATAGCAGCTTTATTCATAATAGCCAGAATCTGGAAACAACCCAGATGTTCCTCAGTTGAGGAATGGATACAGGAATTGTGGTACATTTACACAATGGAAAACTACTCAGCAATTAAAAAGAAGGAAATCATGAAATTTGTAGGCAAATGGTGAGAACTAGAAAAGATCATCCTGAGTGAGATAACCCAGAAACAGAAAGACACACATGGTATATACTCACTTCCAAGTAGATATTAGCAATATAATGTAGGATAAGGATAACAAAATCTATAATCCTAAAGAACTAAACAACAAGGAGGACCCTAGGGAAGAGGCTGAAACCAACTCAGAAAGGCAAACAGGATAGACATCGGAAGTAGTTGAAGACAAGGAAAGGACAGGAACCTACTACAGAAGGCCTCTGAAAGACTCTGCTCACCAGGGTATCGAAAGAGATGCTGAGACTCATAGCCAACCTTTGGGCAACGTGCAGAAAACCTTATGGAAGAAGGGGGGATAGAAAGATCTGGAGAGGACAGGAGCTCCACAGGGAGACCAACAGAGCCAAAAAACCTGGACCCAGGGCAGGGGGCTTCAGAGGATATATTCCAACCAAGAACCATGCATGGAGAGGACCTGGACCTCCTGCTCAGAGGAAGCCCATAGGCTACCCAGTTTCCAAGTGGGTTCTTTAGTAAAGGGAACAGGGGTTGTCTCTGACATGAACTCCGTGTCTGGCTCTTTCATCACCTCCTTCTGGGTTGCAGCCTTGTCAGGCCACAGAGGAAGACAATGCAGCCAGTCCCGATGAGACCTGATAGGCTAGGGTCAGATGGAAGGGGAAGAGGACCTCCCCTATCAGTGGACTAGGGAAGGGCATAGGGGGCAAAGAAGGAGGGAGGGTGGGATTAGGAAGAGATGGATGGGGCTACAGCTGGGATACAAAGTGAATAAATTGTAATAAGTAAACAAGTAAAATATTTTTAAAATGTGAAAAAAAAAAAAAAAAGCATGTGGGGCTGGAGAGATGGCTCAGTGATTAAGAGCCCTGGCTGCTCTTCCAGATGCCCGGAGTTCAATTCCCAGCACCCACCTGGCAGCTCACCATTTTCTGTAACTCCAGTTTCAGGAGTTACAGATACAGGCAAAACACCAATGCACATAAAATTAAAAATAAGAATAAATAAATTATTTAAAGAAAAACATTATATTCTTGCAACAGTAAATCAAATAACTTCAATATAATGAAACATTTTATTTTACATTACATTCCTGTGTTTACTTTACATTCCTGTGGAACCTTCCCCTTGCTCTTTCCCTCCTGGTCCCTCTCTCTCACCTCTCTTACGGCTCCATCCACTCCTCTTCCTTTTCTCTTCAGAAAAGGGGAGCCCTCCCATGGATAACATTGACATTGCAGTGAGACTAGACACATCTCCTCCTATTGAGGCTAGGAGAGGCAGCCCAGCTAAGGGAAAGGTACCGCAGGCAGGCAGCAGAGTCTGAGACAGCCCCTGCCCCGCCGCTAGGAGTCTCACGTGAAGACCAAGCTACTGTGACCTGTGTGTAGAGGGCCTAGGTCAGCGCCAGGCAGGCTCTCTGGCCGGCGGTTTTAACGTTCAGGTCTTTTGGTGTTAAAATTGGAATAGAGTTAAAGAAATGCCATTTTTGTTTTGCAAACTTGATTATGTAATAGATATTTGGTGATCTTTGCCCTAGAAGATTGTAGTGGGATTGTAACAGGTGGTATTGTAATAGGATCAACACACATTTATTAGAGTGACAAGAATTACGAGTTAGTTTTTCATGGTGAAGATATCTATATATATAAATTTGACTAGTAATTAATTGCCTAACCCGTTGCAGATTCTAACATAATTACTTGTTTAAGCCTGTTTCTTTACTTATAACGTGTGCTTATCTTATATAGGTATTTAAAGAATTGAATTAAACATATATTTGAAATATTTATCATAGTACCTGACAAGTGGAAAAAAACCTGTGTCGCCATTTATTAATAATAACACCTCTAATTTTTAATCTCAGAATTCTGATCTGTTTTGAGTTCTGTGTCCTTGGAAGAGGAGGGTTGAGACAGGCTCTCGAGGTGGCCTTGAAATCCTGATGTGGCTGAGGATGACCTTGAACTTCTGATTGTCTTGCTTTCACCTTGTACGTGCTGATTAGAGGTGTGCACAGAGCATCCGAGATTGATTTCATGGACTGGGGACTGGAGTCTCCAGCTAGTGAGCTTTCTGACAACTGAGCTATCTGCCCGGATCCTCAAGCTCTGAGTCTTAATGTCTTATCTTGAATATCTTGTCTTAGATCTCTGGCCGAAGGAGACTATGGAGAGGGCTACACAGATGCCATCTACTCGCTGCCGTCTCCAGAGCTTTAGGGAGAACAACATGACCACACAAGTAAGACAGAAGTTCCTGGGAAAGACTGAACAGTGCTACAAGGCACAGGCTTCCCAGCAATGTGTGTGCGTGTGTGTGCATGTGTGTGTGTTGCATGGTTTACCTGTGCTACCTGTGAGGACTTCGAGGATGACTAGGCCCAGTGTGTGTTCCCTCTCATGAGGGGAGTTTGGTTGGAAGACCCTGTGTGTGGCAGAGTGGTCTGGAAGCCTCTGAAGGCCAGCTTAGGCATGAACCTGAAAGAGAGGTGGAGCGTCTCCTTTCAGTCTTCCACTGCGGCAGCGCGGGTTCAGTGCCACAGCTGCGGATTTAAAGGATGAGGTTATCGCCAAGTCCACACTACAGAAACGCTTCTGGATGTGCTGGGTCTCCTAATTAAAGTCTGTATTCTTTAACTTCTACTTTTCTTTTAGAGTGGTGAGCCTTCAGTCTTTATCATTACACGTATTATAATTTAATCAGTTTCTAAAGCCTTAGCTAATTGACAGTTTGGCTTGGGATAGCATATTTTGTTACATTTACCCAGAGTGCTGTGTCTTTTAAAACAGATGCCAATGACTCTATATTTACATTTGAAAATTTCAGGCTGATGTCGGCACTCTGTGCTTTGCAGTTGGGTGATTCTGAGTATGATTGCACGGGAAGACATCGTAACGATGTCCTAGAACCTAAATGACTGTCAGTGCGAAAAAGCTAAGTTTAGGACGGGCATCTTAGTTTCTTAAGTACTACTTGGCTTTCCCTTTATGTGCCTGCATTACAATTGTCATACAATATATGTGGCAGTAAAACAGAGTCTTAAAGAACTAGATTCTTAGATAATTATAGCCTCCCTTAATTCAATAGCCCCAGGATATTGGATTAAACTAAGACTAAGTTTACAACATATGAATGCCAATTTCAAGTTCTTTCTGAAGACCCTTAAAAGTTTTTTCATTTTCCATATTGAATCTTAAATTTCTAATTCTGACACAACTTCCTTTGAGGGATTCAGAAAGCTCAATGGCTGCCTGGTCACACTGACGTTGGAGCAACTTGAAGCAGGAACATCAATTTTGTAAAGGTTCTACTAATAAACCTATGTTGGAAATATGTTATACAAAGTGGAATTTAGCAAAGGGTTGCTGACTCCAGTATGACTGGAAGATAGATAGGATAACTAACCAGACTTTTTAGAGACTGCGGGAATGGAAATTTGTGCTGTAAAGGAAGTTTAGTTGCTGGGAAAGTTTTTGCTAATGTTTATTACCAAGTCTGACCTCCAGTTATGCTATCTTCCCACAAGAAAAGGAGACACCCCTGACTCACACCCCTATATCAAAGAACGGCTTCTAAGGGGGGCAGCACGGGCTCACAACTATCAATGAGCCCTTGTCTTCCTTTAAGTCCTCTGTGGCTTCTTCAGAAAACAAAAACAAAAACAAAACAACATAAAAAATAAATAGGCAGACAAGATGAAACTGGGTACCAACCAACTGTAAAGATCAGCACTGGTGTCCATAAGAAATAATTCTGGCAATACCTTTCCTATAGAAATCTTCGATCTGCTCAAGTAGCCAGATTGGCAATCTCCTGTATCGGTTTAAGTTGTTCAAAGTGTCACCTGGGGCTGGGACCTAAAACAGATTGAAGGATCCAGCCCATGTGGACCTCGTATGCATATAAGCCAGTAGAATCTTCTTTTGGAGGCTGGCTCTTCTTTGTGAATTAGCCAGGGCTGGACAAAGTGCTACTACTACTGAAGAGCTTTTCCTTTATTCACCTCTAGGAGTGACTTCTCACTGGTGCAACATCTCACTGGAGTGATGTCTCACTGGAAAATGCATGATTCATATGACAGCACAATTTTGGCAAATGTTAGCAGAAAGCCATGTTTAGCCTAACTTCTATTTCTCACATCCTTAAAAAAAATAACAAAATTCAAAATTCATAGTATGTTATCTAATCCATAAAAAGTTGAATAAATTAAGCTGTGCAGGTTCCACAAAATCCACAGAAGTGTTAACCCCCATGTGGCCAGTAAGAACAGCAGGGGCTGAGTTAGGTATTCTGGGTTCTCTAGGTAGTGATGAACTATGCTTTTATTTGATAGTACCAAGGACCAAGCCGAGGGTCTTGGGCAAGCTAGGCTGACATTCCACCACTGGGCTGCTCCTCCTTCCAAATCTTTCTTTTTTAACTAAAATAAAATTCTTGGGCTGGAGAGATGGTTCCTGGAGAGGGCATCTCACAACCATCCTTAACTCCAGTTCCAGGGTTCTGACTCCCTCTTCTGGCCTGTGAACACCAGGAATGCATGCGGTGCACCACCGACACACATGCAAGCAAAGCATCCATACGCATACGGTAATAACATAAAAATTCAAAATGCCTGTCCGTGTCCATCTCCACAAAGGGCAGCAATACCATGAGCCATCTTGATCTGTTTATGAGGCAGAGCGTGTTTGTTGTTTTGTTAACTCTGTATCCCAGCTGTATCCCACTCCCTCATTCTCTCCCAAGCCCACCCTCCCTCCCTCATCTCCTTGCCCCTTTCCAAGTCCACTGGTTGGGGAGGGCCTCCTCCCCTTTCATCTGACCCTGTTTTATCAGGTATCTTCAGGACTGGCTGCAAAGTCCTCCTCTGTGGCCTAGCAGGACTGCTCCTCCCTTGGGGGATGGGGAGGTCAAAAAGCCTGCCATTGAGTTCCTGTCAGAAATAGTCCCTGTTCCCCTTACTATGGGAAACCAGTTGGTTACTGAGCTACCACGGGCTACATCCTAGCACAGGTTCTTGGTTATATCCATACATGGTCCTTGGTGGAGTGTCAGTCTCAGAAAAGACCTCTGTGCCCAGATATATTTGGTCTTGTGGAGCTCCTATCCTTTCCCTGTCATACAAACTCCCCCTTCTTTCATATGATTCCCTGCACTCTGCCGAAGGTTTGGTTATGAGTCTTAGTATCTGCTTTGATACACTACTAGGTAGAGTCTTTCAGATGCCTTCTGAGGTAGGCTCCTGTCCTGTTACTTGTTTTCTCCTATGTCCAATGCACATCCCATTTGTCTTTCTAAGTGAGGATTTATCGTCTTACCCCGGGTCCTCTTTTTTGTTTATCTTCTTTAGGTGTATAGATTTCATTATGTTTATCATTATCTCATAGGACTATATGAGTGAGTATATACCATGTGTGTCTTTCTCCTTCTGGGATCCTCACTCAGGATGATCTTTTCTAGATCCCACCATTTGCCTGCAAATTTCAGGATTTCCTCATTTTTGATTGCTGAGTAGTATTTCCGTGCTCATGGATTGGTAGGATTAACATTGTGAAAATGGCTATCCTGCCAAAAGCAATCTACAGATTCAGTACAATTCCCATCAAAATACCAACTCAGTTCTTTACAGACCTTGAAAGAAAGATTCTCAGCTTCATATGAAGAAACAAAAAACCCAGAATCTCTAAAACGATCCTGTACAACAACAGATCATCTGGAGGTATCTCCATCCCCGATCTCAAGCTGAACTATAGAGCAATAGTAATAAAAACTGCATGGTATTGGAATAGAAACAGAAAGGAGAATCAATGGAACCAAATAGAAGACCCAGAAAGAACCCAACACACCTATGAATACTTGATTTTTTACAAAGAAGCCAAAACCATTCAATGGAAAAAAGACAGCATCTTCAACAAATGGTGCTGGTGTTACAGGATGTCTACGCGCAGAAAAATGAAACTAGATCCATATTTATCACCCTGCACAAAACTAAAGTCCAAGTTGGTCAAAGACCTCAACATAAAGCCAGATACTCTAAATCGGTTAGAAAAAAAAGTGGGGAAAAGCCTAGAACTAATCGGCACAGGAGATAACTTCCTGAACAGAACACCAACAGCACAGGCTCTAAGAGCAACAATCAATAAATGGGACCTCATGAAACTGAAAAGCATCTGTAAAGCATAGGACACTGTAGTCAGAACAAAATGACAGCCTTCAGACTGGGAAAGGATCATCACCAACCCTATATCTGACAGAGGGCTGATATCCAGCATATATAAAGAACTAAAGAAGTTAAAAAGCAATAAATCAAGTAATCCAATTAAAAAATGGGGTATGGAGCTAAACAGAGAATTCTCTGTAAAGGAATATAGAATGGCAGAGAAACAGTTAACGAGATGCTCAACATCCTTAGCCATCAGGGAGACGCAAATCAAAATGACCCTGAGATTTCACCTTATACCCATCAGAATGGCTAAGATGAATAACTTAAGTGACAACACATGCTGGAGAGGTTGTGGAGAAAGGGGAACCCTCCTCAACTGCTGGTGGGAATGTAAACTGGTACAACCACTTTGGAAGTCAGTCTGGTGCTTATTCAGACAATTAGGAATAGTGGTTCCTCAAGATCCAGCTATACCACTCCTAGGCATATACCCAAAATTTGCTCAAGTACACAACAAGGACATTTGCTCAACCATGTTTGTAGCAGCTTTATTTGTAATAGTCAGAACCTGGAAACAACCCAGATGTCCCTCAATGGAAAAATGGAGATAGAAATTGTGGTATTTTTATACAATGTTTTCTGTTCAATATCTAGCCCCCCCCCTTTATGCTAGTAATAGTGATACTGTCTATGCTAGCTAAGGATTGATGGAGGGGACGTGGGACCAAAAGATGAGGATACTGACCCCTTCAGAACAATTGAAGGGCTGAAGTAGAGACTGTTGGCATGTGACACAGGGACCTTAGGGTTTTACAGGGCAGAAAAGGGTACTTGGGGGACAGAAGACTTCATCTGAAGGGTTGGTTTTCTGAAGTCTCAAGCGGGTAACATGGAGGCTTCTTATCAGAAGCTTGTCGGGTCCTAAATACACACAGGTCACGTTGACTTTCCTGTCCAGAGTGCTCAGCCACCCTGACACTTTTTGACTATTAACCCTTCAGGTTAGGGGCACAGGAATATATTAGTTTTCTCTAAAAGAATTAAAAAGGCAGGAAGAAGTTGGA